AATWAAAAAGTACTCATTGACCTGAAGCAAAACTATAAAGCCGATAGGGGTCACTAATTTCTTTTTCCAGATTCCCTACCAAGTTTCTGAGTTGTCGCTAGTTTTAGTACCGCTCGGAYGCGACTTCTACACAAACTAACGGCAGCACCAGGMAKCACGGTAACCACTAACATGGCGGCRAAAACTATTATTAGCTACGTGAATTTCATTCATTGRAGAATGTCTCATTCTGTGTTTACACTAGTTCTGGTTCGTGGGTGACTTGTCAGGGGAAATGCATTCGAAAAGTAAGGAGCTACTTTTAAAACTCTATTTTAAAAACTACCAAAAAAACAGGGCCGGAAACCGCGTATATTGACTGCCTTGTAGTTTTATCTCTCCAAATAAACATATWGGTGCTTACCTGGAATCCAAGCATTAAGCAGATATACCAGGGGGGGTTTTCATCGATTGTGTACGCCAGTCCCAGTGCTTTACGTCTTGCTTTTCTTTTCTTTTTGTCATCTTTTAYGTTTTCATTGTTCTGCAATTAATCACGTGATTTGTTCAGGACAATACTGTTGTATACCCTGTGTAGTGTTGTACTTCTTCACTAATCCCTTSTAGTTTTGAAAAGGGCTATTATGTCCGACGTCATCTATTCAAACCAACAAAGAAGCCCAAGGAAAGGCGACATGTTTTTGGTATCCCTAGAACCATCAGTCTTCACATTTCAAAAGAAGGGTGAAARTGCTCTGTCAACAGGGTTGGGCCACAGTCAAAATAAATGTCTCAACATTACTTAATATGAATCTGCATTTTTTTTAACTTAGCCATTTGATTTCAAAGGCTTTTGCACTAGTCAATTGAAACCCCCGACCCCCGGGACTAGCGGGGTTACTGAACGGGGACGTGACGCGTTTTTAACGTGCTTTAAAAGCAAGTTTGCCCCGGGAGGTCGGGGTTTTGATGAGTTGTTTTCCAAGCGGAGCAAAGAGCGGGGAYTTTAACGCGCATTTGAGCATATATGAGCCTGGAAACTAGAGGTCTGTAATCTTGAAAATACCCTGAAAGCATGAATATTCAACCCTGTTTTTGTATTTGTTTATTTTCCTTGCATAAAAATTTTAGAAGAAACTTAACTCTAGTTAACTTCATGTAGTACGCAAATGAAAATACAGGAGTATACAAAAATTAATCCTGTGTAGTACAGAAAATTTGAGTTGGATTGAAGTGTATTTGTTTTGTTATTTACTAATAGCAAACTAAAATAGCCGGGCCACAGAAGCGCGGATTTTAACAGTGAATGTGCCCTCGACTACCGGGAGAAATGTCTTATTTTAACATCACTTAAACGTTTAATTCCCCGGTATTTCCCGCGGGAAGCCGCAAATGTGTCCGAATTTTGACCATTTTCCGGACACATTCGCGAGATCACGTGCATCATTTCTTTGGAAATTTTAAAATATTTGAAAGGCTGTAACTCGTTCACTATTGAACTAACTTATACATCAAATTTTGAAATATTGCATTTCTCAACAAGGGCTTTCATTCTATGCAAGTCTTATATCACGATTATGTAACTAGGGGATTTTCCCCAGTCCCCACGGWTTGAAATCTGGCAATGAAGGAAGATCATTTTATGCGACTTTTGTCGTTTAGGAAACCATCAACACGTTTTCTTTTTCTATAATAATAAACATTCTTTGAAATCTTTTACAAATAGCTTTCGCCGAGACTTCAAAAAATCTTGTAACAGCCATAAACTTTGAAATAGAATCGGTTTGTGTTTGTAGATATTGCCAAGCATGTACACAATGACTATGCTTTTCGTGATGTTTCATTTGTGCATTTTATACTTTATAGAACGTTTTTATTCTTTCATGCTGACTATTAACAGGCATCGATAAGGACCATGAAAATCAATGTTGAAATTCTATTTTAATTGTTTGTAAAGGAAATGTATGAAATAGAAGCTCGTTTAGTCCTATTAGATGAAATCTTATTTTATCATCTTGTCATATAGCCATCGTTACTGTATCATCTATAATATATACGTGGACAATAATGCAAAACTGCCTTACCTCATCAAGCATCAAACCATTCATCTTCACAATGAAACCCAAGGCACTGTTATAAGTCTAAAGTAAAAGCAATATAATCATATCTAAAAACATTTCAGAGGGAAGTGAATTGAAGCATTGGTTATCTTACTAAGGTTTTATGTCATGCTCTAACTAGGGGAGTCAAACCATTCTTCAAATGCATTGGTATAAAAACATTGACCCTGTGCTATGCATGGAATAATGCCATAAAAAGACGACCTGAATCGATATTAAGTTACCTTTGGATAGAGAAGCCTTTAATAGCTGTGGCAGATTGTGCTCCTCGACTCATGCGGGACCGCGGGAATGAGGCTTGGAGGTCTCGTGGAAAATACTCATTTAAATAAATTTTTTATGTGACCCTTCGCTACCGCTCCGCTCCCCCTCGTTCCTATATCAGTGTTAACGTGCCCCTGTATGTAACGCGCCMCTTTATGTAAGGTAACGTTACCAACACTACTGAGATTTTTTTTWAAATATGCCATGTTCACCATGTGTGCAGCATCTTTAGCTTTACCAAGTCAAGTCGCTGTTTCAAGCGCGCATAATTCATATGAAACTRCGGCTTCTSTCTTTTACCTTCGATCAAACTTATATTTGCAACAGAATATATAATTTTGTTGATGCTAATGATTACATCAAGGATCGTGAGGCGAATCGTGATTACGTGAATTATCAAACATTATTCTGTTATCACCCACACCCAATTACATGTAAATATCTTAAGAGTCCTCAAGTATATCAAGTAACATGACCTGTATGAGTTACAACTAAATCTGCCCCACATTCCCGACAGACACAGGGGATTCTTGTAAATCGCCGAACAAGGACAGAAGGCTGAAAATCACTTCACCACATATCCACTATAACACAAAGATGTAAGAATTCATAAAGTTGAGCTAAGATATACCTTGTAGGATATGCAGGCAGTATGACTTAAAAACAACGAAAAATTAACTGAAACCAAATGCAAAGCAGACACTCAGTATCATCATGATTGTCATCTGATACGTATCAAAGTGCGCAATAATGAGGAGAAAATTCACAGTGTTACTTGAGTGTAGGGAGATAGGAGGTCAGTCAGTTTTAGACGAATAGTCTTCAGTCAACAGTTTTTCCCAGTCTGACCTATCTGCCCCATGCCGGGGTAATCTACTCGGAGAAGATTACAATTACTTTCTCAGACGTAAAACAAGACATCTGTCTACAATTATATATTTAAGTACACTTGCATTGTGCGAAAATCTTTTTATCGCTTCTTTTCTTTGTAGGAAGCCATAAACTTTAGCCAACAACAAACTTTCTATCGATTTCCACAAGCTGTCAAGATCATTTTCTAGGATTACAGTGTTCCCCACATAGACCACGTAGTGATGATAATCACCACATGGAACACGCACAAAAAATATAACAACGCAAGTTAGTAGTTGTTTATGCTGAGAGTCGCTGAGAAATCTAATTTTTACTATTTTTGGGCTACCTGTGATCTCTTATGCAATATGACAAGGAACGCCTGCTTAATTTTGCTAGCTGATCAACTAATGTTAAAATGCCCGAAGGACCAGAGCTAAATAAAGCAGCACGATTCGTCAACGATGTCTGCAAAGGCAGGGTGTTTAATGGGAAGATCGTAAAGTCTGCAGTTAATCACAAAAACCCAGAGATAAAACATGGCTTCAAAGGTTAGTAGTTGTAGTTATGTATTTGTTACATAACATTGTTCGTATAACATGATGCTTTGTCTCCAGACTACACTATACAAGCAGAGTCTAGAGGAAAGGAAATGGCTCTTTTATTGTCATCTTTGCAATCCGAAGAAAAGGAAAATGTCAAGAAGAAGGTCCAAGAAGTTAAAAAATTGCGAATTTTGTTTCGATTTGGTATGAGCGGGAAATTTGAGTTTAAAAAGCCATCAGAGAAACACAAGCAC